AGAAGGAAATGGCAGGCAGAGGCAGATACAGGGCAGCAACTGGGAGAGGAATGAGGATATGGCCACCTGGCCAACGACCCCAGGTCCTCCCCCTTCCTGCCTTCCTGGACCTTGTATAAACCCCCGGCCCTCAGGGCCACCAGCCAGCCCACAATGCCATCTGACCCCTGCCTAGATCCTGCTCTCCAGCTCCCAGCCCATGGTCCTCACAGGTCTCAGAACTCTGGGAGGGGCTTCGCCACCAGACCAATGGCCAGCTCAGCTGCACGTGCAGATGGTCATCACGGTGCTGGCTGAGAGGGCTCAACTGTTGCCTGTGGAGGCTCCACTCTGGGGGACATCACCAGAGCCCCCAGCAGCGAGGGGCAGGCAGAGCCAGGCAGAGAGGGGCAGACACTGGCTTGATTTCAGACCAGCCAGAGAGCCCTGGTACACCACCCCGACTGCAGGCCCAGGAGTCTCTGAAAGGTGGGCAGGATCTTGACATTAGTGATGGCCAGCTCCTTCCCTCAGCTGCCTTGTCTCCAAAACGGCTTTTGTAAAGGATGGGCTAGCAACCCCTGACCCCTTATGGTTCACTTAGCACTCCCCCAAGCCCTCTCACTACCCCTGTTTGCAGATGAGGAAGCTGAGGCCCAGAGAGGCTGAGCAAGTTTTGAAGGGTCACACAGCCTCCTGCACCTTCTGCCCCCCACACCCTTCCTGTGTTCTAAAGCCACCAAAGCTGATTGTCTCATGGGTGCAGAAACTGAAGCCCAAAGAGAGTGGCAAACAGAGAGGGAAGGAATCCCTGCCTACTGCCCTGGCTCCAGCGGGGAGCCGAGAGGAAGCAGATGCCACAGCTCTCATCCTGCAGGTCCGTTCCTGCCACCAAAAGCCCAGAGGAGACCTCACTGCAGTCCTCCAGCTCCAGTGAAAGGGCTGGACAGTGCCCATAGCCTGGGACCCTTTGCACAGAGCCCAGAAGTCCCCCACAGCATCTGGGCCTGTCTCTGTCTGTTTCCAGACCTCAGGTCAGTGAGACAAGAGAGAAATGCAGTTCTGTTTGGACTCAGGTGAGAACGTGGATATAAGAGAAAGAAGGTTTAGTGAACGGGTAACTTTACAAATTGGTGGCGGGAGAGGGGGCAGTTCTAGGAGCCATAGAGATGTTGGTTTGAGCTCAGGTTGGCCCAGGCTGAGAGAGTGAGGACGCCCTTCCATCAGGCCCTCCTGCTCCCTGCTGCTCTCAGCATATCCCTCCCCAGCTCCAAGTCCTTCCAGAGCCCCCACTGTCTGCAGGACAGGTCCCTCCAACCATTAGACTAGGAGCTAGAGGGTGGGGGGGTCTGTGATGTCCAGTAAATGCCGGCTGCTGAGTGAGGGCCTTTCTGTCTTTTCACGCTTTCTACCTTTGTTCAGGACCCCGGTCAGCAACCTGGGGTCTCCTTACCCACCCTGCCATTCCCGCCCACCCATCCTGGCTGGCCATGCCACACTGACCAGAGCCAGCAGGGGTCAGAAATCAGCCAGGAATGAAGAGCTGGAGGCAAGAAAACAAAAACAAAAAAACAAAAAACAATTCCAGGTGTACTAGACAACCTAGAGGGATTAATGTTATTTCTATGTTACAGATATGGTGACGGGCTCAGAGAGGTTCTGTCACTAGCTTTGTGTCACACAGCAGGGACCCAGCACAACCCCAGGGTCTGGATTTGGAGCCCAAGGCCTCAATCACTCTGCATGCACTGTTGCCACCCAGCACCCGATGGCCCCACACCCGATTACAGAGGAGACACCGCTTGTCTGGGGCCACACCCAAGCCACCTGCCCTCATATCCTCCCTCCTCCAGCTGAAACTGCCAGTCCTGCACATCTCGTTGGAGGAAGAGGAACAGAGGAGGAAGGCTTTCAATTGTAGAAATAAATACAGCCACGTAAGGGCTCCTGCTGGCTTTCCCAGGCAGGAGGGTGCAGACAGGGAGAGCTGACAGTCCCTGCGGCAACCCTCTCCCCAAAGGAATTGGGAAGCCCTCTGGGCAGGCAGCTGCATCGCTCCCCCCAGCCCCTTCCAAGGCTTCTCCATCTGGAGCTACCCTCTCCTCCCAGGTGGTCCGTCTCCATGGCAACATCCCCATCACAGGTGGTTGTAACCTTGGCAACCAGGTAACCTTGCCAGCCCACTGCCTGAAAGGCTCTAACTCAGGGCTGCACCCTCTTCCCACGCTCCCCTCACCCGCCATAGCAGCATCCCGCTGGGCTGCCAAAGGGCACATTCTAGCCATTTGCTGAGCACCTACTATATGCTCCGGGGGCATGGCAGTGAGCAAGACAGGAGTGGTCTCTGCTCTCGGTGGGCTTACACTGGGGACAGGTTGCAGGAAGATGCTGGCCAAGGACAGAAAGGAGAAGACAAGCAGCGGTTTCAGGGAACAGAAGGCACTTGGAGGAAGGGGGTGCCATTTCCTCCTCTTCAAACCCCTAGACACCCCGCTCCCGGAGCGAAATCTACCACCCTCAATGTCGATGGCTCACTGGTTCATTCAGCCAATGTTTGGTGCATGCCTACTATGTGCACACCTATTACGTGCATACCTACTGTGTGCCACAGCAGTGTTTTACAAGGGCACTCGATAGACAGGATAAATCAGTGCATCACAGAGTGCTCTCACTGGGGAAAGTGGTGTGGAGGTAAGGACGGGGCAGAAGGAGGCACGGGGGAGGTGTGAGTCAGAAAGGAAGCAGGCAGGCTCAGGTCTGGGGGAAGGGTGATCAGGCAGTGGGAACAGCCATGCCAAAGTCCTGAGATGGCATGTGCCCTTGGCCTCACCCTGCCCTTTAACCAGGTGTCCCAACCGATGACCACAAGCTGGGCAGAGCCACTAGCATGCTGTGGTCCCCTCTGTCATCAGGAGGGGAGTCTTTGCAGCCCTAGATGTGGAAATTGAGACTACAGGGGCATCTCCCACAGTCCCACAGCCAGGAAGTGGCAGGGCCAAGATTTGAACCCAGGCCACTGTGTTGGTTAGCCCCCTCACCCTGTAGGACTCATCTCCAGCTACCCCTCCTTGGGGAGACCTCACTGAGCCCAGCCTAAGTCAGGCACTGAGATCTCTCTGAGTTTTCCACCCCACTTTGTGATTATTTCATGGTTCTCTTCCACTGCCCTCGTATGTCAAGTCCCCTTGTTTTCCCCTCAGCATCTCTCCCTCCTGGTACATAGTAGGTGCTTCGTAAGCTTCCCTCCAAGACGCACTGGGAGGAAGGCATCAACAGGAAGAGAGGGAAGCTCAGAAAAGAGAAGTGACTGTCCCAGGTCACATAACGGTTCCCAGCGATGACTTCTCTGTGCAGGTCCTTGGGCTGGCCGTGGCAGTAGGGATCTATGAGGGAGGGGCACTCACATCCTCTTTCTGCACCTCTGAGGGCCTGGGGGCCAGGAAGGGAACCATCCCCCTCAGCCTGTGGTGGACCTGGCTTGTGGCCTCCTGGGATGCAGTTTCTGGGCCTCGGGCCAATGCGACAGTCTGGGAACAGAGCCTGCTTGAGTCACAGGTGGCTGAGCTGATGCCAGGCCACCGTCAAAGCGGCTAGAAGGACGCAGTGCCTGGGAAGGGCTGGGGGTGGCAGTGCAAGGTTAGACGCAAGCAACCCTCAGGGCAGCCAGGTCTGCCCTGAACCTCTCCCTCGGGTCGATGGCATCTCCAAGCCTCACTCTGCTTATCTGTGAAATGGGAACAATAAATGTGGCAGCCTGTGGCAAGGAGGGTGCAGCAAGGAGCTGAGGGCCCCTGTTTAGAATGGAGACCAGCACACAGTAAGTCCTTGGTCATCTCAGCTGGAGATATTAGCATGATGGGGAAAGGCCCCCCTGCCCCCCGTCCTCTGCCCCGGTGCCACACAGCCTGCAGTAACATCCAGCCTCCTGTGCCAGACTCCCCATTTCAGACCCCCTGAATGGGGCAGCCTCCCTCCTGGCCAGTGCTGGGTAGGCCTGGTCCAGGATGGTCAGGATACCCGCTCCTGGTTCCTTTTCTGCCCTGGCTGTTTTCTGCCTGGGAGCCACATATTCCAGCCTGAGAGTGGGGAGTAGGGACCCTTCACCCCAATGTTCCATGATTCTAGGATGTTTGCTCCAACCTACTCCTTTCATTGGGCAAGGCAGGCCCCCTCCTAACATGAGGTTCCTAGCACGGGGCCCCCCACATCGCTCACTGTGTGTAAAAGCAAGGCTCTCCTCCTGCAAGCATCCTCTGAGCGCCCTCCTACTGCACAGGCCAGGGAGAGTGCAATGGTGAAAAAGCCGCATTAGTCAGACAAACACAAGTTGCTACAAACTGGCCAAGGAAGCATGGAGGGAAAGGCTTCCAGCCAGGCAGAGGGAACAGGGGGTGCAAGACCCTGAGCCTGGAGGGAGTGTGGCATGTTTGAAGAGCAAGGTGCTCTGCATCGGGACTGGAATCAGGGGAAGGAAGAAGGCAGGGTAGAGTTCAGAGGAGATCCTGAGGGCCATAGGGAGCCGGAGTTGGTTCTGGAGGCTGTGGTTAAGCTTTCTCTGGTACCCACGTGGGGAATGGGCCTGGAGGTCTGGCCTGAGTGGAAGCAGCTGGTACAGGAGTCCAAGTGCCAAGGTGTTGGAGGCCTGGACTGCGGGGCCTCGAGGAGGGGGTAAGTCCCAGAAGGGCACTGAGGAGGGTCCCTGCGTCTCCTGCACCGCAGCCTCAGCAGCCCCGCCATGACCACAGGGGTCCTCAGACGAGACCCAACGCGGGCAGGGAGCACACTGAAGCTCACTTACTCCCCGTCCCGGTCCCCCTGCCGTGCTGCCCCCCTGGCGCGCGTCCGGGGACCTGCGCGCACGTGTCCCCGCGCAGCCGGCAGCCCCGGACACCTGCCGCCGCCCGGGCACCCACACCCTAGCGAGCAGGCCGCGCGCACGACAGAGCACAGCCCCGCGCGCCCCCGCCCCGCGCACTGGGAGGTTGGCGGCGGGCACGCGCTGGCGGGAGTGCGCACGGCGGGCCCGGGAGGCGGCGGCGGCGGCGGTGGCTCTTGTCGGCTCCGACGGCCCCCACGCCGCAGCCCGCGCCGTGTCCGCGGCAGAGCCGCCCAGGTGAGTGGCCGCGCGGGCCCCGGCAACCCCGGTCCTCCTGCGCCCCGCAGCCCCCATCCTCGCCCAGGGGCTACTCGCCCCGCGCTTCCTTCTCCCGCACATCGCCACTCGCCAGGCCCCCGCGCTCCCCCTGGAAACTTTGGGGGCCACTCCCCACGCTGGGGTCCCCCGCCCCTCCACTGGGGCACCGAGGAACGAGGAGTCGGGTGGGCGTCTCTTTGGGGTAGTGAGAATGCCTTGGGGGATGTGCCCCTCTCTATGGGAGGAAGAAGGGGGCACTGGCTGGGGTGGAGGGACAGAGACAGTCGGGATGGAGGCTTCAGCCACTGTCCTTCCTGTCCATCCCCCACCGGGGTCTGGTCCAGAGGGCGGTGGGAGTGAGGGGGTGGTGCCAAGCTAACGGGAAGGTAAAGAGGGCTTTTGAGGTCCACGCCAGGACCTGCTCCATCCCTGGGCCTGGGGACAGTTCAGCCTGGTGGGAGGAATTTGAGGGTGCAAGGCTGAGCCCCCTGCACTGTGGACTAGTGTCCAAACAGCACGGAGGATTATGGGGAGCTTCTCTCTATCCCCAGAAGCTGGGCCTCTGGGGTTTGGCCATGGGGGCCCCTGAGCCCCATTCAACAAGTTGGGGATGGGGGAAAGCACCTAGTGCCTCCATGCCGACACAAGAGCGGACCCAGCCCTGCCTTTGGAGAGCGCCGTACAACCTCTTTTTCAACATGTGCCCTGACACTAAAGACAGCCTTCCATTTCTGAGGAGTCAGAACTTTGGGGGCTAAGGCTCCAGAACCTGAATTTGGAACAAGCGGCCGCTGGTGAATTTGTGTGTGCACAGAGATGGTTGAGAGCCTCTTGCTTCTGGGAGGGCAAGGTAGGAAGGGGGCATCTGGTGTCACATGACAGCAGGCAAGGAGACCGTTTGGGACTTGATGGGAAGCCTTTGGGACCAGCAGGGCTGAGACCTGCCTGGAGCAACCCAGGTGGGCTCTGTGGAGGAGGTGTGGCAGGTGTGTGAGTGCCCAGAGGTGAACACAGGGTTCCAGTGTGGATGAGGCCGTGGAAACCAGGTGTACGAGTGGGGAAGAGTGTGGTCTTTGTCTGGAGCCTGGGCCCCCTTGGGCTGTGGGTTCATTGCCTGCAAGCAGCAGCCATGTGTGGCAGGGTCTGAGCTGGAAGACCCTGCAAGCCTACCCATTGATGCAGTGCTCTTGCTCTATCTGGATCACGTGGGTTGGTGGGAAGGGGCCACCCAGCCATGGCACGAGGCTCGGAAAGGCTAAACCCAGCCTTTCTCCTCCTGTTGTTCCATTCCCCGGCCTAGCTGGTGACCTGGCAAAGGACAGCTGCTCTCTGAGCTCCAGTTTTGAGACAGACACGAACACCAGACTTATCTCGCACAAGCTGAGACAAACGGCTGCGCATCACACCCAGGCCCGGTGCTGCCATAAACTAGATGCTCAGTTAATAAGGGACTGTTACTACCATTACCACTATTGCAGTAGCTCAGCCTTGCACCCGCTCAGCCTCAGTATGCTCATCTGTAGAATGGGGGTGGTTGCTCCTAGCCACCCCCAGACTAAGCCTGGGATCTGAAGGTGCCTTGCTGAGTGGGAATAAAAAGCAGATCTGAGGCAGCAGCTTGATTTCTCATCCCACAATTCTGTCATTCCCGGGCACCCCTGAGTCACCACCTAGTCACCAGGTAGAGAACTCTCCAAACAAAGCTTGTCCCAGGTTGGCCCAAGAAAGCCACCCACAAGCACACGTCAATCCTGAGCCTCAGAAGAGAGCCCTCTGCCCTCCACTCTCCAGTAAGACTCTGGGACTCAGTGGGAAGGAGCTGGCATCAGCCCCAGGTTCAAATGGGGCCTCTCAAGCTGTGATGCCAGGTGAGCTGGGCACCTTTCTGACCCTCAGTCTCCTTTTCTCCAAATGGCCTCCGTTATTCCACTCTCAGGGCCGGACTGGTGGGAGAGCAGCCACAGTATATCATGGGCATCCAAACGGTAGCTCCAGATCTAGAAGCCTCCCCTACACCCCACAGGCTGGCAAGGAAAATGGGTCTGGAGGCCCCCAGTCCCCTAAGGGGTAACAGGGACTCACAGCAGAGGGAGGCTAATTAGGGCTTAATGAATTGTCATGGATGAGATCCCCAGGAGCGCTCAGATCTAGGACAGAGGATGACCAGGCCTGGGGTTGTTGGCAGTGTATCCCCAAAAGCAGGCCTTGCAGGGCCCCCACCTCCCAAGTCTGAAGCCTGAATGGGGACGCCACCAGGGCCTGCCAAACCATGCTCTCCTGGCTCCCTCGGGCCCCAGCTGTGGCAGGGGAGGGTTAGGGTGAGAGGGTGGGGCAGCGGAAGGAGCGGCCTGGGGACAGAGCTGCCAAGCTCCATCATCCGTTCCCCGCCCCGGCCCGGCCCTCCCTGTGGGTTCACTTGACGCCTCCAGCCCAGACAGGTTTTGGTGTTGCCCAAAGGAGTCTTCAGCACCCCCTGGCCTGGGAGGGGCCAGGAGGGCTTGTCCCATGCGGTCTGTGAGGGAGAAGCTCACTCAGAATAAAGGAGGTGGGTGGGAAGCAGCTGGGGTCCGGGGAGCGGAGCTCAGGTACCCTCCGCCACACTCTGTCTCCCCCTTGTGTTGAGAGCTTCATGGCAAATTAGGACAGCTTGGGGTGGAGGAGAGGAGGGCTCTATTTCCCAGGTCCTGCGGTGACGGTGATGGTGACGGCCAAAGTTTGGGGCCCCTCCTTAGGTAGGCCTCCCACCCCAACTGATGCTGACAGCAGGCCCTGTGGGTGGGCTTGGCCTCTTCCCCCTTCCCCGCCCCTGGGGCTGGCACGCGGCCCACTTCCTCTTCACCATTGCAGAGACCCTGTCAGTGTCTCTTGTGGCTGCTGTGACAAATCAGCACAAACCTAATTGGCTTAAAACAGCACAAATTTATCATCTCACAGTTCTGAAGGTCAGAAGTCCTAAACCCAGGTGTGGGCAGGGCTGGTCCTTCTGGAGGCCTGAGGTGAGGATGGTTTGGGCCTTTTCCTGCTTCTAGAGGTGCCGCATCCTGGCTCGTGGCCCCTTCCTCCGTCTTCACAGCCAGCAGCGCAGCCTCTTCCATCTCCGACTCTGACCCTCCCACTGCCCTCTTGTGAGGACCCGGTGATGACACTGGATCCCCAGGATAATCCGGGGCCATCTCCATCTGGACGTCAACTCATTAGTGTCCTTAATTTCACCAGCACACTTAATCTCCTCGCCACATCAGGAAACATTCAGAGGTTCTAGGAATTAGGACATGGGTGTCTTTGCGGGGACTGTTGTTCCACTGACCACAGACCCCACCTTCCCTGTTGGTTTTCTCTATAGCAGTGCCCATCTGGGGCCTCTGTTTAACTCTTCCTTGCTTCTCACCCGTCAACGGAGTGGTGGGGGTTCTGTCTGTTCTGTTCAAAGCTGTTTCCTGCTAGAACTAGAACAGCGCCTGGCACACAGCAGGCACCATTAATGCTTGTGGAGTGAATGGATGAATGAATGAGTGAATGAACAGATAACTGTGTGGTACTTAACCAACATGAGACGACTTAACCAAGAGCAGAACGGGGCCCCGGACTCGGCTCCTGACCCTGTCCGGCACCCAACGGAGAGTTTTCTAGAAGGGTTCTGGTTTACAAAGTAACTTCTCAGCTGATTTCTCTTTCCCCCCAACCACCACACCCATCACCTGGGAAGGTGGTTACTAATCATGGGAGTCCCTTTGGCAGAGGAGGAGACTGAGGCTCAGGGCATTGGAAGTCTCTGCCCAAGGCCATGGGGTGGGCTCCAGCGGGGACCCAGGAGTCCGACTCCAGACTCTCGCTGACTCTCTGCTCCATGCAGTGGGTATTACCAGGCCCTGGAGACCCGTCTCTGTGCATGGTGGAGACAGAAAGAGGAGTAATGCAGTCCTCGTTCTGATGACAGCGCTGTCCTGGGAGGAGACAGGGCTTTCCAGGCTCAGGCGACACAGGGGGGTAGGGTCAGGCCATCTTCAAGCTGCAACTCAGAAACATCACTCTCCTGCTCAAACCCCCGTGCCTCCCGCTGCTCTCACTACCGAGTCTGAACACCTTGTGGTGTCTGTAGCGCCCTGTGCGGTCTCACCCTCTCTGATGCCAGCTCCCACCCCAGACCCAGACACGCCCCGGCCGCAGCCTCTCTGCTCCTCTGAGCGCCAAGCTTACTCCCATCCCGGGGCCCTTGCCCTGGCGGCTGTCCGCACCTGGAACACTGTGTTTCAGACTTTGGCCCGTTGGATTCCTGTCCCCCATTCAGGTCTCAGCTCAGACCAGCTCCCCCAACCTGCTGGACAGAGCATCAGCCCAGAGCAGACCTCTGCTTTCCCCAGACCAGCCACCTCGTGCATTTGTTTCCTTGACTTTTCCCTGCTCTTCCACTCGACACGTTGCTCACCAAAAGAAGCCACGCGCAAAAAGCCACACAACGTGTGATCCATTTACGTGGAATGTCCAGAACAGCCACAGCCACAGGGCCAGGAAGTGGGATAGTGGTTGTCGGGGGCTGGGGGAAGAGGATGGAGAATGACTGTTAATGGGGGTGGGTTCCCTTTGGGGGGTGCTGGAATGTTCTGGAACTAGATAGTGGTGATGGTTGCACATATCCATCACTGTGCTAAAAAACATTGACTTGATCCCTTGAAATGGGGAAAATTTCACCCCATGAAGGCTGGGATGCAACTGTGCTCAGGGCCCTGCACGAAGGAGGAAGAGAGACCCCGAGTGTGACTGGGCAGCAGGCTGTCTGTGTGTGGGCTGGCCCCCACTGCTCCAGACAGGCCCCTGCCTCCTGCCCGTGGTGACCACGCTGCCCTGCCGAAGGTCTCCATGGCCTCCGCTGTGGCTCGTCGTGCGTGGCAGCAAGTCTCTGCCCTTGAAACGCGTGTTGTCTGTCCACCCAGTCCTTCCCCCGTGGGCCAGAATGGAGGGAACCCAGGCCCAGGCCAGTCCCCAAGGCTCCTCTGCCCTCATCCATGTCACCGTAAGCTCACTGACCCCAAAACTCTCTGTGGCTTGGAGCGAGGGAGACTTCTCCGCCAAGGGCAGCTCTGAGTCCTCACAGTTCTGCCCGACTGGCACAGGGCAGTCTCCTGGGTCTGCAGAGCCAGCAGAAGTCAGGGTCCCATGGAGGACAGGGTTCCGCTGTCCCTGGGAGAGCCCTGGAATATAAGGTGTAGAGTTCTGGGTTTGAGTCTTGAATCTGCTTCTCACCAGCTGTGTGAGCCAGGCCAGTCACTTCCCCTCTCTGGGCCTCTGCTTCCCTGTCTGTAACACAGGCTGACAATCAGCCTATTTCTTGCTGGGAGTGCCTGCTCTCTGCCTGGTCCCCTCTTCAGCAGGGGTCCCACCTTCGAGGTCATTGGGCCATGTTTGGGAACATCCATGGTTGTCACACACAGGACACTTCTGGCATTGAGTGGGTGGTGCCAGAGCTGCTGCTCAGCACCCCACAGTGCCCAACCCGGCTGTCCACAGAGAGTGTGACCCAGTCTCTGTGTCAGCAGTGCGCTAGGGGAGAGACCCTCACACCCCCGCCCCCAGGTCCGCTCTGCAGAGGGGAGGGCTGAGGCTGAGAAGGCAGAATGTCTGTTGGGGGCTGTGGCGTGAGCTGGAGGCTGTGCCGGCAGGTGGGCCAGTCTGGTGGAGGCAGGAGAGGCAGATGGGGGTGGGTCTGGGATGTACCGGAGGTGGAGCTCACGGCACCTGGAGACCTGGTGACAGGTTGGCTGGATGTGTAAAAGGGGACTTGAAATGACTCCAACCCGTGTGAGATGGGGAGCGGGGACCCCCCTGCCTGATGCCAGGGGTGACGCTGGGGTGCTGGGGGCCTCCTGGGAGAGGTCAGGGACATAACTGGGTCCCTCGCCTAGAGCTCAGAGGAGACATGGCTGAGACACAAAATCAAGAGTCGACCGTGAACAGTGGGTGTCCTGGGAGGACAGCGGGAGAGGCCCCGAGTGGGTGGCAGGTCTCTGGGGACAGGGGCTCTGGAGAGCCCTGAAAACAGCCCTGCAGAAGCAGGACTGGAATCCAGACCCCCATCCTTGTTGGGACCCGGGAGCCTGGCTTTCTAACTCCACCGTAAGACTCAGCCCTCCAGGGGGAGGACAGAGGCGGGGGATCCTTGCTTGTCTGGGGGGGGGGGCAGCTCTTTATCCTCTGGGAGTGACAGAGCCAGAGGGGCACTCAGGAGACCACCCTCCTACATGCTCTCCCACTTTCAGGCCTGGCCCATGTCCGGGAAAGTGAGGGAATGGGGGTCCTGCAGGCAGAATCGAGTCCCCACGGTTCCCTCTCCAAGAGCCAGGCGTTCTCCCAGGTGGGGGAACCAGAACCCTAGGGGGAAGATCAGAGGCTCAGGCCCAGCTGCAAGTCCCCTCCCCGTGCGCCCCAAGCCCCGCAGAGGAGATGACAGGGCCTCGCCTGCAGGAGAGGTTAGACTTGACAAACTGGGTCACAGCTTGAGTGGCCTCCCGCCTGCCCCATGGACCAGCTGTCCTCTCAACCTGGGAGTAATTATAGAGCTGGAAGTCCAATGCCCCAAGGGTTCTCTGTTCTTTTGACAGGCTAGGTCCAGAAAGGGTGTGTTTTTCATTATGGGTCACACAGCAGCCCATTAGAACTGAGGTCTCCCGCCAGCCTCTCAGTGACTGTATTGCAGTAGCTGCACCCCAGCTCTTCCGACCTTTCGTCACTTGAGTACTTCCTGATTTTGTTCTTATCCACATTCTCCAGCAACTGTTTTTTTAAAAATTATTTCCAACTTAAAATGTTTGAAAAGTTCCTTTTCATCTCTCTGACCGCAGCATCCAACTCTCAGCCTCCGTGCCCGAACCACACGGCCACCCTCACCACATTGTCCCTGCTGTGCCCTCCACAGACTGCCCTTCCTGCTGCCGCCTGCTCACTCCCTTTCTCCCCTAAGCCTTTGCTCGAACATCCCTTTCTCAGCAAATTAGATCACTGCGGCCCCTGGACACCTATCATCGCCCTTTTCCTGGACTTATTTTTCTCCACTTGCGCACCCAAGCCAGGAGAGGCTGTACTATACCCATCGGATGTCCATTATATCCCAGAAGCCGACCTTTTTGCCTTCTGTGCTCTGTGTCCCCAGCACCTGGAAAGTGCTTGGCACCTGGCACCTGTTTGTTGACTGACTAGTGGACTAAATCAATGCATAGGGGTCCCAGCATTATGGTATCTCTGTAGATGATAGAAAATTGGTCTAGCCCAAACAGAACTGGATGAACTACCAGGACCCTGTTCTGGCTCTGTAAAAAAAAATTTTTTTAAATATTGAGTGTTACCTCCCACTTTTCCTGAGACTTCCCCTGCCACCTCTGATGTGCTGTGTGAACCTGAGGTGGTGACTTGAGTTGCTTTGAGCTTCAGTGTTCCCATCTGTAAAGTGGAGGTGACAGCAGCACCCTGTGAGGTTGTTGTTGGAATTAAAAGAGCCAGTGCAGGTGGAGCCCTTAGCCCCAGGTTGGCACAGAGCAGGAACTGTAGAAGTATTCACCATGGTGGTGATGATGATGCTGCTGCATTAAATGAGGGTTTAAACAGCAGTTCAGGAAGACTAAGGTGGGGACATCAGTACAGAGATTAACCAGTGACATTGGGGTGAAACCCAAATAAAATTGTTGAGAGAACCATGCGGGGAAGGTGTTCCAGGTTTCTGGTACAGCACGTGCAAATGTCCTGAGGCAGGACAGTGCCTGGCACTCTGGAGGAACAGTGAGGAGGCCTGTGTGGCTGGAGCTGAGTCAGCGAGGGGGAGAGAGGGAGAGGTTGTGACGACAGGGAGGGGACGGGGCAGGTTGTTCAGGGCCTGTGGGCCCTGGGAAGGCTTGGAATGTTACTCCAGAGGTGTGAAATTCTCTCCTGCAGAAAGAACAAGCGAGGCAGCTCTGCCCCACAAGGAGTCTGTACTTGGGAGGCTGAAAAATATCAGCTATTCTTCCCAGAGACAGAGCCAGGGAGGTCTGACTCCTCCAGAGCAGGCTGCTGAGGTCCCATCCCCCATTCCTGGGCAAGGGGGACAGTTTCCCTGGACCATAGGGAGCAGCACAACAGGAAACTGGAAGTGACCTCAAAGCCAACGGCAGGTTTAAGGTAGGCATGAGGTGGGCTGCTGAACAGGGAACCATCCGTTCTTGCTGTCTTCTCCCTCCCACCTGGAACACAGCCTCACCATGTGCTGTCCGGGCAACAACATGGGAGAGAATGACCTTGGGAAACAGCTTCGGAGGATTACGTTCCTTGCAATGCCCAAGTTAGGGTTAAGACAACTGCAGTGAAAGGGCACAACCGGCCAGCTCTTGCTCCTTCCCCTCGGCCTCCTTGCTACATTCCCCGCTGGCTTCCTCAGCTTCCTTCCTCACGGTGTGACCGAGTCCTCAGCTGTGCAGGCTCTCTTCCCACCTGCTCACCCCAGTCTCTGCCTCCGTCTTCACGTGGCTCTATTCCCTCTCTGTGTGTCTGTACATGTGTCCAGATTCCCCTCCTGTTATAAGGACACCAGTCATTCTACCAGGGCCATCCTACTCCAATATAACCACGTCTCAACTAGTCACGTCCGCAAAGACCCTACTTCCAAATGAGGCCGCATTCATAGGTGCCAGGGTCAGGACGTGAGCACGTCTTTTCAGGGGACCCAGTTCTCTCCACTACGGACTGCAGCTAGCACGTCAGCTTTCCTGGTCTGAAGTCACCTCTTCGTCAGCCCCGGTCTGTGCCCATCCATCTGTGCCGCTTCCCCTCACAGCCCCTGGTCTCCTTACCTGTGAGGTTTCCCCCCTCATTAAACTTTGTTTTAATGGGTCTTAAAATTCTGTGACAGAGTTTTGGTCAAGTTGTTTCCATTAACAAGCACCGAGTGTCTGGAATGCGTTGGTGGCCATCAAGCAGGTGCCGTGTCTCGGGCCCAGCTTTGGCTCTGATTAGGACACCCTAGAGAGTGTACAGCCCAGTGGGAGGAGAAACAATGGAAAGAGTTTTAAGACGTGCTTTGATTTCATGTGATGGTCAGCCTTGCACAGACAGGTAACAGAGGGAGCACAAGATGGGTGGGGGCCTGGTGAGAACTCTGGGGAGAGAGGGGGCATGTAGACCACCTGTATCCCCACCTGACCAGCGAGAGCTCCCTGTTCTTCGGTGGATTCAGAGCCTGCTATATATGTATAGTAGGCACTCAATAAATGGGGAGGTTTGGGGCACCAACATTTTTTACATTATGTTTGCATGATTTTTCTCCAGTTTGGTAAGTGCTTTCTTTCATCATTTTTTAAATTGAGAAAAATTCACAACACATAAAATTCACCCATTTAAGGTACACAATTCAGTGGGTTTAGTATATTTACAAGATTGTGGAACCATCACCACTATCATATTCCAGAACATTCTATCATCCCCAAAGTCACTCCCCATCCCCTTCCCAGCCTCTGACAACCATGAATCCACTTTCTGCCTCTGGTTGTGCCTGTTCTGGAAGTCTCACATACGTGGAATCACACACTGTGTGGCCTTTTGTGTCTGGCTCCACTCCCTGAGCATCGTGTGTTCAAGGTTCTTCCACACTGTAGTGAGTGTCAGAGCTTCACTCCTTTTCCTGGCTGAGTAATATTCCAGTGCATGGATGGACCACCTTGCCTTTGTCCTTTCATCTGTATATGAACACGTGGGTTGTTGCCACTTTTTGCCTAATAGAATGCTGCTGCCGTAGACATGGGTGTACAGATTTTTGTGAGGTTGTGTGTGCTCAGTCCTCTTGAGTGGAAACCCAGGTGTGTGACTGCAGGTACCACGGTGGATAACGGTCCACGTGAGCACTACTAGGGCGGGCCAAGGAGACAGAACTCCGGTGCTAATAATGCCCCCGCCCCCAGGTACCCATGAGGATGTTGGCGGGGCCCTAGGCCCAGGTTCCCTAGGCTCCGCACCATGACCTGCTGGCTATGCGTCCTGAGCCTGCAGCTGCTGCTCCTGCCTGCGGCCCCGCCCCCGGCGGGGGGCTGCCCAGCTCGCTGCGAGTGCACTGCGCAGACTCGCGCAGTGGCCTGTCCCCGGCGCCGGCTGACCGCTGTGCCTGACGGCATCCCGGCTGACACGCGCCTGCTGGAGCTCAGCCGTAACCGCATCCGCTGCCTGAACCCAGGAGACCTGGCCACTCTACCGCTGCTGGAGGAGCTGGACCTGAGCGAGAACGTGATCGCGCACGTGGAGCCCGGCGCCTTCGCCAACCTGCCACGCCTGCGCGTCCTGCGCCTGCGCGGCAACCTGCTCAAGCTCATCCCGCCGGGGGTCTTCACGCGCCTGGACAACCTCACGCTGCTGGATCTGAGCGAGAACAAGCTGGTAATCCTCCTGGACTACACCTTCCAAGACCTGCGCAGCCTCCGCCGGCTGGAGGTGGGCGACAACGACCTGGTGTTCATCTCACGCCGGGCCTTCGCGGGGCTGCTGGCGCTTGAGGAGCTGACCCTGGAGCGTTGCAACCTTACGGCGCTGTCTGGCGAGTCTCTGGGCCACCTACGCGGCCTGGGCGCCCTGCGGCTTCGACACCTGGCCATCGCTGCCCTAGAGGACCAGAACTTCCGTAGGCTCCCTGGCCTGCTGCACCTAGAGATTGACAACTGGCCGCTACTGGAGGAGGTGGCCCCGGGCAGCCTGCAGGGCCTCAACCTCACCTCGCTGTCCGTCACCTACACCAACATCACCGCCGTGCCAGCCGCCGCACTGCGCCACCAGGCCCACCTCACCTGCCTCAACCTGTCGCATAACCCCATCAGCACAGTGCCTCGCGGGTCCTTCCGCGACCTGATCCGCCTGCGTGAGCTGCACCTGGCCGGGGCCTTGCTGGCCGTGGTGGAGCCACAGGCCTTCCTGGGGCTCCGTCAGATCCGTCTGCTCAACCTTTCCAACAACCTGCTGTCTACCCTGGAGGAGAGCACCTTCCACTCAGTCAACACGCTGGAGACCCTGCGCGTGGATGGGAACCCGCTGGCCTGTGATTGTCGCCTGCTGTGGATCGTGCAGCGCCGCAAGACCCTTAACTTCGACGGGCGGTTGCCGGCCTGCGCCACCCCTGCGGAGGTTCGCGGAGACGCGCTGCGCAACCTCCCCGACTCTGCGCTCTTCGAGTACTTCGTGTGCCGCAAGCCCAAGATTCGCGAGCGGCGGCTGCAGCAGGTCACAGCCACCGCAGGCGAGGATGTGCGCTTCCAGTGCCGCGCGGAGGGCGAGCCGGCGCCCACTGTGGCTTGGGTGACGCCTCAGCACCGCGCGGTGACCATCGCCAGCGCGGGCCGGGCACGTGTGCTGCCTGGGGGCACACTGGAGATTCGGGACTCGCAACCGCAGGATAGCGGCACCTACACGTGTGTGGCCAGCAACGCGGGCGGCAATGACACCTACTTCGCCACGCTGACTGTGCAGCCTGAGCCAGCAGCCAACCGGACCCTGGGCGAGGGCCGCAACGAGACGCTGGCGGCCGCGCGCTTCCCACTGGACCTCACCACCATCCTGGTGTCCACAGCCATGGGCTGCATCACCTTCCTGGGCGTCGTCCTCTTCTGCTTCCTGCTGCTCTTCGTGTGGAGCCGGGGCCGCGGGCAGCACAAGAACAACTTCTCCGTGGAGTATTCCTTCCGCAAGGTGGACGGTCCGGCCGCCGGCGCCGGCCAGGGAAGCGCCCGCAAGTTCAACATGAAGATGATTTGAGGGGTCTCGGGGATGATTTCTCACTGCCAAGCCAGGAGATTCAGTCTGTCCCCGCGAGCCCCTCGCTGGCCTGTCCGATGACACCTATGCATTCTCCAGAGGAGTGGCTGTAAGCCGACTCCTGGCAGAACCCCCCGCCCCAACTTTTTTTTTTGTAGAGACCCAATTACAGGACTTTTTTCATCAATATGTGTCTTTTGCAATTGCTCAGGCGCTTTCTAAAGGTTTTCCCTTGTCTCCCTGGCCCTGAGAGGTCATTGAGCTACATGGACTGGAGGAGGGGCTCAGAGACCCCTGGGGTCGTCACACTTAACAGTTCACATCTGGAGACACACAGCTGCTGCCCCCAGAGCCCCCTGACAGCTCACACTGGGGGAGATGCCCCTGGAACGCTTGAAGGACACACTAACGCCTATATGCTGCTCACACCTGTACACCCCACACTTCACACCCCAGCACACACGTATTCACGCCCAGGACACAGACACACAGTTCTAAAGTGGAACACACACACCTGACACCCAGCTGACACTAAACAGGTGCTCCAGGTTCCAAAGCTAACCACGAGCACACAGGGTTCTTGTGAGAGCACAACTCACACCTGGGATAAGCAGCCCACATTTGGAACACACCCAGCTCACACCTGAGTCACACGTAGCTCCACCTGGGACACACCATACTCCCAGTCAGCTGGCCAGCTCTGGGGGTATCTTGGGGGCTGGGCTAAGATCTTGTTAAGCTAGTCAGGCTCACCCTGCGGGTGTGCAGCATGCTAGGTGGTCCCTGACATGCTGGCCCTACCCTCACTCCCAGACTTGCACCCACCAGGACCCACTAGCCATTAGGAGAAGCCATTTCCCCAGGTTCCTCCAGCACCCTCAGAGATTGCCACTTGGTTATTGAGCCCACACCATGCTGGAGGAGCAGCTTCCCGGGCCCCTGGTCCTGGAGCATAACTTCTGGGGTGTCCTCCAGCAAGCCAGCTGTAGTGACCTTCGATCCTGAGTCTACGCTACCCCTGAGCCAGCCCCGTGTCCCGCTGTTCACCTGGGGAACGAGACCAGCGAGTGTGGGCGGCTGCCAGGCACTGCAGTGTCGTGTGCACTGCAGGGCAGCAGTGGAGAACAGGCCAGGACAGGGGTTCAGGCTACAAGAGTCCTGGACCTCATTTGTTGAGAGAAGGTGACAGAGGCACCTTGGTCTCTGCAACTCTAGGTCCAAAGAGAAGAGTCATAAGCAGACTGTATGTAGCTCAGGTTAAGAAAGTCTTTCCCCAAGGTCACTGCTCCATTGCTCTTCGGAGAGTGAGTTCCCCATCATTGGAGATAAGCAAAAAGGAGCTGAGGTATTGCAGAAGTATTCAGAAACCAGACAGGGGCTGCCCATGGCCCTGCCTTCCCCAGCATGGCTCATGCCCCCACTCTCTCCCACTGCTGACAGCAGTCGAGGCAAGGTGGGGAAGGGGCATGGGAGACGGCGGGGCCCGACTTCAGCCAGAAGGGGGCTTGGCCTTGAGCCAGGTTAGGACAATGTTCTCAATGACCTTGGAGGAAGGCTGGCTGTGTTCCCATCACGCAGTGTAATCTTGGTTGGTGACTGAGAACCACCTGAACTCTGGGAAATGGGCCTGTAAAACCCACTGCTACAAGTGTAGAGGCTGGGCTGGTGGACAGGCCTAATGGTGGACTTGAATCCTGGATCCCTCAAGACCATCTGAGATGAGCCAGAGAGAAAGCTAGGTCAGCCCTGGGGGTTTTGAGCAAGGATTCAGACAGCACTCAAAAGGGGGCGTTGGCTGTTGTCTCTGGGCTGTGGCTGGAAAGGCAGAGGCCCCAGCCCTGCCCCATGAGATGCACACAGGCCGGCATGGGGGGGTGGCGGGCCACCGACCATGGCCAGTCAGGGTGGGGGCTCCGTCCCAACCTGCTTGTGAGAGAGAGTCAAAAGGGTGCCCAGCAACCTCACAACCCACATGAGTAAGGCAAAAACAGCTACTTTTTTCTCTTAGCACTTGCCTAACCTTGGTTGCCATGACAACCCTGAGGGCCTTTCAGAACGACATCCAAGTACCTTTAGTATCGTCGAGAAGGGAGAGTGGTCTGTTCTCAGCAGTGTTAGGATTTACAGACCATCACACATAGTGGACCCTCCCAGCACCCTCTGCCCGCCCCCTGTCCCAACAGGAACCAATACCCACCCCCACCAGTCTCCTTGCTGTCTTTGGATGGAATCAAATAAAAATGAAACTAATTTAATAACAAACTTCTGATTTAAAAAAAAAATATGGGAGGAGTGGGGGCAGAAAGTAGGGACGAGAGATAAGGGGCTGCTGGGGTCCCACAGGGGAGCTGCCTGGCTCCAGCCCCAAGGCTGACTGAGTCACGGGGTGTCTACCGAGAGGGCATGAATGGTGAAGAGTTAAGGCTGCACTTCAGGAGCACCCATGCTATTTCCAGTGCCGCTCCCCTGTATTAACTCTTTTCACGCTGAGGATGACTCTGTGAGCTGGATCCTGCTGTGATCCCATTTTACAGATGGGCAACGGGAGAGTCAGACACTGGAGGGCACTTGCCCAGAGTCTCCAGAGGAGGAGAGGCAGGTGCTGAGAGGGGTGGTGGAACCTGGTTGTCAGAGAACCCCCTACCCCAGTGTCCTCTGGGGGCAGAGCCAGATCCGCACTGAGCCTCTGGAGCGGTGGCTCCCTCCTCCAGGGCTTGGTGGTGGTTTCCTCTTCTGAGGGGGCCCATCAACTTCCCTGTCTCTAGGGGCTCTGGGAAAAGGCAGGCCGCCCTGAGCGCTTGATGTAATACTAATAAGTACTTCATTCTCACTATGACCTTCACCTGATAGATGGGGAAACTGAGGCACAGAGTCTGGTGACAGGAAGCCTGTGCTCTTTTTGGAAGGAAGTGGACCAATTCAGAGCAGTCAGCAGAAGCCATGGTCAAGGGCACCCCAGTGTTGCTCTCCGGGCCTCAAGTTTCCCCATTTAAGAATGAGCAAAGGGTTTCTTTTCTGCCCTGCAGGAGAAAGACGCAGAACAGGGACATGCCAGGGGCTGTGGGGTGAATGCTCTGTGCCTGGTTTCAAACAAGTCAGGAACTGGGACTGTGGGCCACGGGCGGAGCCTGCAGCGGGACGAAAGGAGAAGCGAGGCGCAGCCCACGCCTCCCCCCTGCGCCTCTGCAGAGGGCGGCTTCCTCCCTCAGCGCCTGGGACCTCCTTTTCCCCATCCCTCCTGCAGCAAACGCAGGCAAAACGATTGCCTCGTGTGCCTCAGTTTCCCCATCCACAGGGTTTGCTGGGTCCCTCATTCAAACCGGTATAACATCCAGGATTTTCCCAGTCCTGTCTTATTCTTGGGGTGGGAGGAAAGGGAAGTCAGATGATTCCTTTTCTTTTCTTTTTTTTTTTTAGAAGAGAGATTTCAATTATTCAGTGTTTTCCATTTTTAAATGGTGGATGTAGAAGTGTAAGCCAGGGCATCTTCCCACAGACATTTACAATGTGAATAGAGAACAGGACAGATGCCACTTAACGAAGGCAAATCATTCCAGGACATAAATATATGTGTTTTTGCAAATACAAGTTCTCATTCAAATGGATACCTAAATACGGACTCCGTGGTGTTTCAGTTATATCCCAAAGGGCTTTGGGGTGTCCAGGTGTGAAATAAATCCCGTTACTAGATAAAAACTAGTGGTCCATGTAGCCAAAGAGCCTTTGCAGAGGCATCAGAAGAAGTGGTAGAGAGAGCAGAGGGACATGCCAGATACACTTGCATTTATAAATGCATCCAAAGTCTGAAAACACTATGGGGAATCTTAGAAATCCCAGCTGTCAGCCCTGACTGGTGTGGCTCAGTGGCCTGAACACCCGCCTACAAAACAAAAGGTCGCTGGTTCGATCCCTGGTCAGGGCACACACCTGGGTTGTGAACCAGGCCCCTGGCTGGGGGTGTGCAAGAGGCAACCAGTGACATTTCTCTCCCTCCCTTCCCTTCTGTCTAAAGATAAATAAATAAAATCTTAAAAAGGAGAGAGAGAGAGAGAGAGAGAAATCCCAGCAGTCCAGCGAATGGACTTCTAAACATCCATTCCATCTGCAGGCTTCACACGCATCTCCTCAGGCCACTTCTCGGAGCGGGGCGCACAGGAAGCGGCTGCCTTCTGCGCCGGCTTCCTCTTTCTCCGCCTTTTCCTTTCACGCCTTCAGTCACCTCTGTCAAAAGACAAATCTAAGTAGTCGTGAAGTGTTAAAATCTGGCAGTAAAGCGAAATTAGAGTTAAAGGCAGATGTCTAAGTAAACATGTTTAAACATGAGCTAGTGAATGAAGAACTTCACTTTCAAAGAGCCAAGTACTCTCCATTTCTGAGGAATCTCAATCCGCCTGTCATCCTGGTGAGTATTTCCACACTGCCCTTTGCTGCCACAACCTACGTGGGCGTACATTTTTTACTATTAATCTATCACTAAAAGATCTGAATTAGGAGACTGAAAGAAAGCATTTTGTATCCAAGTTTTTTTTTCTTTTATTGACTCTAGAGAGAGGGGAAGGGAGGGAGACAGAGGGAAAGAAACATCGATTTGAGAGAGAAACATCAATCAGCCCCCTCTTGAATGCACCTCCTCTAGGGACCAGGCCCGCCACCTGGGCAATGTGCTCTGATCTGGAATCGAACCGGCGACCCTTTGCTTTGCAGGACAACGCTCAACCTACCAAGCCATGCCAGATCGGGCTCTATGTATTTTTTTTTTAAATCCATCCATGAAGAAGGAGCCAAGTGACCGTTTCCTGGGAGGGGAATGTTCTTATGGAGGCTCTGTAAGGCTGAATTGGTCCACCTTTACTGTATTTTTGTTGTGTACAATGCACACCCACGTTTTTGTGTGCATTATACATGGGATTATTATATCCGTGTATAATGTACATCCTTATTTTTTCCCTCAAAAATTTGGGCAAAAAAGTGCACATCACACACAGCAAAATACGGTGTTCCTCGTTCTTTCACAGCTCCTGTGGTGCCACCACTGCCCTGTTCGGGTTCAGGAAGCTCATGCAGCAGTATTGCACCATCCTCGTGAGGCAGCTTGTCTTCACGACAAGTGTCATCAATCAAATCCAAGACCCTTCCATCTCTCTGTACCTCACTATTCTTCTACAGTTTCGATCTTGTCAAATTGGCACCCACCCCAGCACCACACCCGCTACTGCCCGAGCCCAGATGAATCAATTGTTTAAAGAAAAATCTAGCTTGTGTGGCTGTTAGGAGAGGAGGAGACACTTTTCTTTATTGAACAGAGTGGTGGGGATTTGCCAAAGGTCACGCAGCAAGTTAGTAAGGAGCTGGCTTGAACGGGATGGGGGGACCCCCCTCCCCCACACTGGGGGTTTCTCACATGGTCCTGCAGAGGGGAAGTGGTTCTCCAGGAAATGAAAGCCGCAGAGGAAAGAGCCCTGGTTGGGTTTCTCCCTAAACAGTCTTTGCTGGGGTCCCCTGCCCTCCCCAAATGTGGGGGACGTGAAACATCTTGCTCCCTCCAATCTCCTTAGACTACCCACTACTGCTCACCTGGAGTGACCTTCAGGACCTAAACTGTCTTTTCCACCTGCCCCCACCCTGCTCTCAGCCCAGGGACTGCGCACTTCTGGGCCCACCTCCTAGTCCTTACGCAGGCTGTTTCTTCTGCCTGAAATGCTGTTCCTGCCTTCAAGGGAGCGTGAGGCTGGTCCAGGGAAGTGATGCAGAAGGAGGTTCCCTACCCCAGCCAGGCGTGAGGTCTAGCTGTCACATGGGCATCTGTGGTCTGCTGCCAGTGGCAGTTTGTCCCCAAGGCCCCCTGCCCTGCGGTCACTCCTGTCCTGAAAGTAGGAGGCTCCTGGAGGGGTGCTGGGGCAGGGGGAGAGCAGAAGCCACAACTTTTCTAGGTCAGGGTGACTTGGAACCTGTATGGGGCAGGGCTGGGGGTGGGGCTGCCGTTGGCTTACGGAGGAGGAGCTCTGGGGATGAGGCCCAGTTGCGGGCCCTTGCACATTGTGCCCCCAGCTTTCACCCAGATGGCTTGCCCTCATGGCTGGATATTCTATTCATGCCACAAAATTACAGGGTCCTTCCCACCACCCTGAAATGTTAATGGGCAACATCCCTGTCTTGCAGATGAAGAAAGGAGCCCAGAGAGGGCAAGAAACGTCCCCAGGGCTGCACAGCAGGATCCAGGATGAACAAGAGGGCCACAGTGTGTGACTGCTCTGCATTCGACTGGTCTGTGCACACCCACCCAGCCCTATCATCTGCTCGCGCAGACACCCCACGTGTGTCCGCTCACACCTGCCCCCCACTCAGCAGCATGAGCAGCCCCAACCTACCCACCAAGACTCCCCTCTGGCCCCCGGACTCCAGCCCTCACCTGCCTGACTCAGCCCACATACAACAGCCTTGGTGAGCCACCGAGGGGGGCCCGGGCTGGGGGGCAGCAGGTTGCCAGACTCCTCTGAGGTGGCCAGAGCAAAAGGATGGAGTCTCTCTTACCATTCAAGGAATTCTCTGCCTAATGACGGTTTAACCCAATTATATTAGCTTTTTTACTACTTCTGCTTAAAAAAAAAGTGCTAGGGTCACCAGCCTGCAAAAACGAGGAAATTGGAGTTCAGAGAGGTGCAGTGAGTTGCCCAGAGCCACACAGAAAAGTGAGGATGTGGGGTCACCTAGTGCCGGGCTGGATGTTTCTCTGTCACCAACTGTCACTCTGAGCTTGTTTCCTCACAGGGTGCAGGGCAGTTGGGTGTCAGTATTATTTTCATTTCGGACTTGGGGACACGGGGCTGAGGGGTGGCGCTGTGTGTCCAAGGGCCCTGTACTATGTGTCCTCACCCTCTCTTCCTCCCTCCCCGTACAGGTGGGGTCTGTGCCTGCCTTCCACGGCCTGCTGCTCTCAGTCCCCTGAGTCCTTCCTCCTCAACTGACCCACAGCCCCTGCCCCCACCCCTGCCCAAGAAGACCCTGACCAGGGCCCCGTCCCTGCCCACCCACAAGGCTGCCAGCCCCATCTCTACTCCAGCAGGGCAGGCTTGAAGGCCTCTTCTGGGGTTCTGTAGCATGGATGAGAGTCAGGCAGGCAATGACAAGATTGGGCCAGCTGGTCCCCCTGCAGAGCTGCTTTTCTGCTCATTGGACACTGAGCTGGGCCTGTCCTTCCACAACCTGCAACGCCTGCAGGTCGTGCATGCTGCACCGGAGGCCTGGCAGCTGGAGGGCCTCTGCAGTGTGCATGGCTGGCTCTAAGCCCAGCTCCTGGAGGGCCACTGGGCCCCTGCCACCAGGCCACAGCTTCCACCTCCAGGACAGTTCAGCCTCTGTGCACAGCAAGGATACCCTCTGCTACCGCATGGTGCGGGTGGCCTGGCATGTCCTGGTCACCAAGGTGAGCCCCACCACTGTCCCTCCTCCTGGAAGGGCTTCCCAGCCTTCTGTCTTAGGCACAACCCCCACCTGCACTTTGGGCTTAATTACTTATTTTGCAAGTGATGTGAATTAGCACAGTCAGGCCTTGGGACCTCGTTTCTCCATCACTTGGGAATCCTGTTAAAACTCCCTTCCCAAGCCCCTCAGGGCCCGGGAACCTGAATTTTAACTCACTCCCCAGGATGTTCTGGCTTGAAAGCCACTGAGCTCACCAGCCACAGCCAGCTGATAACCACCACTTTAAATAAAAACAATAACAGTAGCCCTGGCTGGTGTGGCTCAGTGGATTGAGCACTGGCCTGCAAATCGAAATGTCACGTGTTTGATTCCCAGTCAGACCACATGGCTGGGTTACAGGCCAGGTCTCGGGGGGTGGGGGGGGGCATGTGAGAGGCAACAGATCGATGTATTTCTCACACATTGATGTTTTTCTCCCTCTCTCCCTCTCTTCCCCTCTCTTAAAAGTAAAGTAAAATCTTTTTTATTTATTTATTTTTAGAGAGAGAGGAAGGGAGGGAGAAAGAGAGGAAGAGAAACATCAATATGTGGTTGCCTCTCATGTGGCCCCCACTGGGGACCTGGCCTGCAACCCAGGCATGTGCCCTGACTGGGAATCGAACTGGCAACCCTTTGGTTTGCAGCCTGTGCTCAATCCACTGAGCTACACCAGCCAGGGAAAAATCTTATTTTTTTTAAGCAACGAATAAATGCATAAATAAGTGGAACAACAAATCGATGTTTCTCTCTCTCCCTGAAATCAGTAAATAAATTTTTTTTTAAAGATTCCAGTTAGCCCTGACTGGCGTGGCTCAGTGAACTGAGTGCCGGCCTGCAAAGTGAAAGGTCACCGGTTCGATTGCAGGTCAGAGCACATGACTAGATTGAGGTCCAGGCCCCTAGCTGGGGCTGTGCAGGAGGCAGCTGATGAATGTTTCCCTCCCTTTCCCCCTCCCTCCCTTCTCTCTAAAAATAAATAGATAAAATCTAAAAAAAAAGGGTTCCTGTTAACAAACCATTATCACCAAACATCAGGCACATCACCATGTTAGGCGAACCTCGCTGACTGGCAGAGCATGTTGTATGGGCCCGTTTTGCAGACTGAAGTGTGGAGGGAGTAAGTTGCTGCTGACTTTGAGTTCTTTAGTGGACAGCTTGATGCTGGCTCCATCTCAAAGGCCTCTGGGAACTTAATTTTTTTAGTATAGACCCCCCCAGCACACGACAACACCTATAATTTTTAAACAACCCCCCAGATGATTCTAATGTAGTCCCCAGAGCTGATGCTCTCTTGACCTTCTAGAAAGAGCTTTCTTGTCCAGTTCTGCAGCCACTGGCCATGCCTAACTTCTGCGCATGTGCAATGGGGTTGGTCCCGCCTGAGATATGCACTGATGTCACATATGCACCTGACCTCAAAGACTTAGTGTCAAAAAATGATCATGTAAAGCTCTCAGTGGTTTTTATTGATGTCCTCTTGCATGACACCATTTGTTTCTTTTCACTTTTTAAAAAAATGTGGCTACTAGGAAATTTTAAATGACACCACGGCCTGTGACGTATCTCCACTGGACAGCCCAGCCCTGACACTTTTGCCCAATAGTAAGAACCTGCGCCTTTGGCAGACTGGAGAGTTTGGTCTCGACATGCCATCCTCTCCGGTGTAGTTTTTCTTAAAATCGTCTTGGGGACTATTGACCAAATTAACATTTAACCCCTGCTTCTGGAGGCATGTAGTTTGCCTCTACCCTCTCCCCCCTCCCCCACCCAAAACCAGAGTGGGAGCAGGTTGGGGTAGGCAGGAAGGCTTTAAGGTCAAGAGCTTATAAAACTAGTCCAGCTTATAAGCTAGTCAAACCAGCTCCAGTAGGAGCTGGTTTGTGGGGGGCTCCTCAGTCAGGCCCTAATGACCCCCTCTGCCCCGCAGGTGCTCAAGCCCAGAGCCCAGGAGCCCCACCTCAGGCTCTGGAACTTCAGGCCTCGCTGCTGAGGAGCACTTCAGCCTCCAGGGGCTGTGTGGTCTGGTGCCGGCCCTGGAGCATCTGGAGGCCCCAGGATCGTTCCTGGTGGAGCTGGGCCCAAAGAACCTGCTGCTGGCGGAGCCATGGGACTATTCAGCCTCCAGGGCCTTGTGCCTGCTGCCTTGGAACTTTGGCCTCATCTGCTCATGGCCACTGGAAACCCTGAGCGCCCATGAACCTCAGCTGGGCTGCCTGCTCAGCTTGCTTCTTGGCTCTGTGCCCTTGGCCACACCTTGGCTCCTGGCTGCCCAGCTGGCTGGTGTGCAACCCTCTGCAGCCCTGACTTGCTTCGCACTGCAGGCACTGCTCTGGGGACCTGGACCTCGCTGGGCCGCACCCTGTTGCTACTGCGGGACTGACCCTATGGGAGAGACATGTCTGTTCCAGGGCCTCTACAAGAGACAGGCACTCCTTCCACGGCTAGGATTGTTAGCAGTGTCTCCACAATAGGTAGACGCCCCCTTCCAAAAAAGGCCAGACGGCTAGTGGAGTGCAGAGGTGTGGACACCCTTCCTCCAATGCCTGCTCCCTTCCTTTGTTGGGGACTTAGGCCCAAGGCCTCCGGCCTCCCCAAGAAGGCAGGTGGCCCCCTTTCAGGGCTGGGGCTAATTGCCAGGGTTAGCTGAGGTTTTCTGAGGCAAGGGCCACCCACCCCTCTTCCAGATGTGGACACCTGTCAATGTGTGTGGAACCCCTCACCCCACCTTCCAGTAGAAGCCAGGCAGGCACCCTTGTGGTGTTGGTGTCTGATGGTTACTGCCCCCACAAGAGCAGAGTGTGTGAACACCTCTTCCAGGGCCAGCAGGAGAGGCGTTCCTGGCCCTGGAGCAGCCCCTGGTGCTGAGCAGGACCAGTGATCCTTCCGATGTGAAGGTCCTTGTCAAGAGCTACTTGGGGATGGGAGGCCCACCCAGCACTGCTCACCGCAGGCGAGTCTGAACTCACCTCCCAAAGGTCCCCATGCCCAAGCTCTCTCCACCCACTGTGACCTCCTTGCTGTTCCTGTGACATTAAATTCTGTCCAGCCACCCAGCTTTGTATGGGCTGTTCCTTCTGCCGGGCTGTTTCCATCTTACCTCTTCTAACTAAAGCTGCCCCTCCCAGACCCTCTGTAGCTCTTCACCCTGCACTCCTCTCCCTCTACCCCCAGAGCACTCATCACAACCTGGGAGTATTTCTTCATCTGTTACCTATCATTTGTCCACTTCACTCAGGCTGAGTTCTCTGAGGAAAGGGGCCAAGTTTAACACACAATAGGTGCTTACCAATAGCACAGGATGATAAACTAGTAGGCAAGATTCATCAGAGGACCTGAAGGAGTGAACTGGGTCTGTTTATGCCTCTGAAAAATGGACACAAGAACTGAGGGGTCCCCCTACCCTTGCCGGGGATCTCCAGCCAAGCCTCCTCACTCCCCGTGCCCTACCACGGTAACTGAGGGGAATCTTTCTACATCCCCCTGCCGCCCCCCCCCCCGCCCCCATGTGATCAGGTCCGTCTCTGGCTCACATTTTGCCTATGACTACTCCCTATGCCCAGAGTACAGTGGAATCCCCTACGAAAGCTCTCTAAGCCCTGGCCAAGCCCCTGCCCCCCACACCCCTGCTCTTCTGAGAGGTACTGTCTGGCTACCAGGCCTTGCCCCTTATTTCTTCCACTGTAAACAGTCGCCTTTCTACACCTCTGCTTCAGACTCCTGGTCATCCTTCAGTGCCTAAACCCAGTACCTTCTGTACCCTTGTCCTGCCCATAGACTGGGAGTGCATCCAGCTGTCCCAAGCTTCTGAAAATTAGATCATCGCTTACATAGTATCCTGTTCCACTCTCAAATATATCCTAACCGCCTCCCCCCCGCTGCACCTCTCAACTGTAAAAGATGCCCCTTTTGCAGCCTATTTCCCAGTCAACTCCTGGATGTCCATCTTGGGAAGATGCTCCCAGGTGCACCCAGCAGGTGGCATTGCAGTCAGGACCATCTTATGACTTGTCTCCCTATTCACCCAGCCCCCACCTGCAAGACCAGTCTTCTCCACAAGTACTCCTATCCCAGGATGGCATTGCAAGACCTAACGAACCAGAAGCAACAGAGGTGCACAGGGTCTGCACTTTTCCATTAGGAGTGGGCGGGAGGTGGCACGTTTGGACACACATCACGCTGCCCTGGGAAAATCCCAGTGGGCCTGTTTCCAGCAAAGGTGAGGCCATTCAGGGAAGGGCATGGGACAAGAGGTCCAGAAATCCAAAATATGGGTGAGGTAAGGCAGTTATCACCCAGAGCTGCCTCAGATCTGCGCTAACAGCAGGAAGGTGATTTAGAGGTAGCAGGGTGGAGCCCCAGGGTTGTGAAACCTCACAACTACAGGTCTGAGCCACCCAGTCCGTCCCACAGAACCTGGCTGTGGCAGAGGGGAGACAAAAGTCCAGTCTCACTCCATCCAGAAATGTTTTTTCGGGGGGTCACAAAGCTCAGCATGCACGACTTACCTGCAAACCAGCCCAGCCCAGCCCACTTTGGCCCCAAGGTACAGCCAGCCAGCCGCCAGCCTCCAAGCCAAGTTAACACCACTGAGCCCACACAGGTCTAGATGTAATCACTTTTATTCGATTTTTGAAAGCAATAGAAGGGTGGATTAATACCTATCTTTCCAAGTTAAGACCTACAACTGTTTCCAAAACTTCAAATAAGAAACTCCTGCTTGAAGTACAAGGATAATCTGTATCACCTTAACCCAGCGATAAAAAAGTAAAATATAAATTTTTATTTAGATTAAAGCAAATACTTCAGTATCACAAACACAATATTAAACTTCAAGAAGTATACCGCTAATTTAGAGTGAGCGTTTATTTGCACAATTACAACATGCGGACAAACCCAGAAGGGAACAAGCCTGGCATCTGCGCCAGGCACAGCAGTTGGTCACACCACTCGCACAAGCGAGACACAAAAGGGGCTGTGGTCTGTGATGATCTGTCAGTGACGGTGAAGGGTGCAGGCGGCACAGCTGCTACTCATCTTCATCAGAAGACTCTCTCTCAAATGTGTATGCCATGAAGCAAGCGTCGGGTCTCTTGGGGACAAGGGGATGCCCCGGTCTCACAATCTCAAAGCCCATAAAGCTGAAGGTACGGAGCAGAGCGGCTGTGGGGGAAACTGCATCTGAGCCTGCTGGCCTCCAAGAGGCTGCAGCAGTAATGGGAGTGGGCAGGACAGACTGAGGATGCCCAGCAGGGAGGGTGCAGCAGGGTTCTATTAACAGTATGACCAAGCACCAAGATTTGACAACAGGACCTTGGGCCACAGAGCTCCAACCCTAGGGCCGGAGGAGTAGATACTCTCATCCCCTTGTCCCTGTATGAGCAGCTGACAATGGGTCACCCACCTCTGTCATCACGGTTCTTGTGGAAGCAAATGAAGACATGGTCAACATGCAGCTGCTCCTCAGCAAACTCAAGAACAACTGCAAAGCTGAAGTATAACCAACCATCAGGATCTGCCCGCCCTCTTGCACTTCTTCTAAAGGCCCAGCCCGGGCTTTACACTTTTCTCAGAAGCCTGATATATGGGGAGCACCACTCTTCCAGTTCTAGACCTTGGGACACTGGGGCTGGGTCATTCTCTGGGGGCCAGGGGGTCATCCTGAGCACTGGGGGATGTTGAGTAGCATCCCTGACCCCATCCCCTCAATGCTAGGAGTATCCTAGTTGTGATAACCATAGATGTCCCCAGACATGGCCCAGTGTACCCTGGGGAAGAATTTTCCTGAGAATTGCTAGTCCACTGCTCAAAAGGAGAACCCTCACCCCTAAAATGATGGCCAGCCCTCACCTGTCTTTGCTCCCCTCTGGCAGAGCACCACCTGGGATCTCAATGTAGAGGCAGCTGCTGCTCAACACCGCTCTCCAGTTAATGTGTTTGGCATCTGTGAGCCTGGTCTGGACGTTGAGAATTTTCGTCTTGTTATTAGACGTTAGTTCCTCTGTTACATTCAGCCTATTATCCTGTGCAAGAAGAGCACCAAGTCAGCACCTTAGAAACCAAACCTCATAGGCTAGGGATCTTCCTCCTCCATACCACAGTTTGGAAAACCCAGGAAAGCACCAATGAGCCAGTCACCTGACCCCCTGCAGTGATGTCATCTGTATGCAGGGCCTCTGAGACCTCTGAGAGGAAGTGGCCCTAGGCTGGGACGAAAATGGGAGTTTGCCAAGAACTACTTGTGGCTGATGGTACAGTAAGAGCTTTGGCTACAGCTTGTACTTATGTGCCCCCTGACCCTCAAATTACGAAAATTCAGTGAAATCACAGATTGAATTCCTGGTACACAGCAGGGTATGAGAAATCTCCACTGCTGAGAAGCAGATGCTACAGTTCTGGCCAATAGATCAGGACAGCCCCTCCCCCCGACCTCCCCAAGGTCCAGGGAGCCCTACCATCCAGGTACTTACAGAGTAAAATAAATTAGCTGAAAGATTGTGATCCCTCTGACTATTCCCTCGCCCACCTGGGATCTTCAGGGGTGGGTGAGGGACATCAGGAGCACCACTGAGGCCCTGGACCCAGGTTACTACAGCAGTTGAGAGAGACCCTGGAACTGGAAAAAAACAAATTGGTTAACCAGCTTTTACTGACAGGGCCCTGAGCTCCAGCCACACCAATATGAAGGGCAAGGGTTCCCAGAAGTCCAAGCAAGAGTGGTACCCAACTGGGACCCTGCTCTCCCCAACCCAAATCTGATACTTATACTGGTCAAGTATGGTCAAGGGGTCAAAATCAAGAGCAGACTGTTAGGGCAGCTCAAAAGCTCCAACCACCCCCACCCCAGATGATCAGAAACAAGGGGTTACTTAGATGGGCCTTGGTGGGCGATCCTTCATTAACCAGCCCAAAATTCCACTTAGTCTTTTGCCCTTGAACTACCTTAAAACAAAGTCTCACCAACCCAATCCTACCTCAAGTTTTACTTCCCACTTCTAACTCAGACCACTTCAGCTTCCCCCTTTCCATTTTGCGTCTGTAGCAAAGATCGGAAATTGTAGTGCGTTAAGAAGCCAGCAACCTTCTGTGGTCAGCCCCCACCGGGCAGGGTGCGCTGCGGGGCGAGGCCCTCAAAAGCGCCCCTCCCACCCGCAGGACTCTGATTGCGTCATCCCAGCAAAGCTGCCCTGCGCCCCGGGGGAGTTTTTCACAATCGCGCAGTCTGAGCGCCAGCAGCCATTTGCTGCGCAGTGTAAACAAGTCCCAAAGTCGCCTCCATTTTGCACGGCTCACATATGGGGCGCCCCCAAACCCCAGCCCATGTACACTGCGGCTAAGGATCCCTTCCCACGAGGCTAAGGGAAACCCGAAAAATGGTGTGTGTGTGAGAGGGGTGCCTAAGATCTTGATAAATACACCTAGCACGCTTCATAATGGACCCCCACGCCCCGGAAGCGCACACAACCACCTTCAACCAAAACTTCCCTAACAGGAGGGTCGGCAAGAAGGGCATGGGGTCATAGGCGCGCGAGAAGTGGGTCATCAGCCACCCAGAAAAAAGCCCGGAAACCGTCTACGTGGCGCAACCACGCTCCTCCCGTCCTCGGGGACCTGGCGCACCCAGACCGGCACACTTCGGGACCAAAAATGGGGGTGATGAGAGCGGCCGCAAGGGGGGCCGGGAGGGGGACCCCGCTAGATTGAGTTTTCCCACCAGCGGAGCGCTACGATCCTAGCGATCAACGTTAATGGGCCGCACCCGCAAAGTGCATAATCATGGGTCTCATGGGCCCGACTCGGCCTCGGGCCAACCCGCCTCCCAAGTCTTCCCCTCGATCCCTCGGCCCTACCCCGAACCCGACCCCAGTTCCCCGCTGTCTCCCAAACCCAACCAGGTGCCCTGAGACCCCCGATAACCTCCCAGGCTGAGACCCCGGACTGGTCCCGCTTCTCACTCCGCCCCCACCCCACAGAGAACCCGCCCCCCGCGCGATTGTGGCCTCGACAAAGGGGCGGATCTCGCGCTCCCAGGAC